GATTCCATGTCAGTGAGTTTTAGCAGAAGTGACCTATGAGGTAGCAAGTGGTCCCTAATTTGCTGGATGAAATGCCAAGAAAGCAGGAGAGAAGTGAAATTCAGCAGGTTCCTGTCCCAGGGATAGTTTGGGTAGAGCCTTGGCAGCTGTGGGGTGTCACAGCTGGGGTCAGCTGCCACTAGAATCACTGGTGTGATCATGTGGTAGCAGGATCCTCTTTTCAAGGACTAGTGTTACAAAACTATGGGGTGGGAATGCTTGACAGCTCCAGGGTTTGGAGCTTTTGCCATAGGTCAGCCTGAATTAAACAGATTAACCACCAAAACAGCCAAGGAGAGAGGGATCTCCAGGCAGAGAGGAGCAGCAGCATCTGACACCCCTGCTAGAACCTACCTTTTCAACAAGATTCCCTGGCAGAAGGTTCTCCACGAACTGCCGCAGGTTTTCCCGAACGACAGCGTTGTGGAAGAAGGTTATTTTTCCATTAATGAGCCCCAGCAGGGTTGGAGTGCTGTGGGCACCCAGATGATGGGCGAGGCGCCGTTCGTATCCCGCGTGAACGACACCGATTCCTGCTCCTGGAAAAGGAGAGCACCGGGTTCACCTGTAAGATCCCCCACAACCCAAATGCCCAGTGCAAAACTGATGAACTGCTCCTTTGCCCAGCACCCTGCTTTGGAGTTAGGAATGTTTGGGAGAGCATTAGGATAAAACCCCGAGGGAATCCACAGGGTCTAAACTGGGTCACACAAACCTGAAGGCAAACCACTGCAGCCTTACCAGGCGAGGGACACACACCCAACCCCAACAACCTCATCCTCACCCAGAGCCTCCAATTCCTGAGCAACTTCCTTCCACACGGGCTCGATGTGGATGCAGCTGAAGCACCAGTCTGAGGTGATTTTAATGAGGTAAGGTTTCTTGAAGCTATCTGGCACAATTTCATTGATGTAGTGGGAAAAGTGGAGCAAATACTTCTCGTCGGAGGTGTCGCGCCTCTCGGAATTGAAAGGGAAATGGAAGAAGGACTCATCAAAATAGAAGCCATCGTGGAAGCGGTGGAACTGGCGATGCTGCTGCTGAGAGAAGCCCTGGCTTTCCCCAGCATCTCCATAGCGATCAAAGTTTGCCCTTTTTTCCTCGTTGGAGAGAATCTGGAAAGCAAATGATGGAAAAATGATTGCCTGAAACCATGAGGGGGAACTGCCCTGACTGTAATCCCTCAGTAAATAATGTAAGGAATGTGCAGCCTTTGCTGCACATCAGACAGACAAGTATTTTGGATAAAGGTAGCATCACATGCTTCTCGGCTCATTGTGGCAAACAGGAGTAAAAAACCCTTAAAGCCCAAAGAACAGGAGCCCCTAAATCCAGACTGCTGTTCCCACTTCTGTCACCAACAGCTCCTTGAGTCTGAACATCCTGTGTTATGAGTACAAACACTCTTTTCTTGAGTGGCTTTTGCTGGTGTCTCTTTGAATCTGGAGGGTTCAGAAAGTGCCAAAAGTTTCACTGAGCAGCCAGAAACCCTGCAGAGAAACTGCATTTTTTGGCAGGGAAATAAGGATTTATTTTGATTTCCATGGGCTTGGCTGCCACATACTGGAGTGACCAATTTCAAGAACGTGCAAATAACCACTGCTAAGAATAATTTGAGGTGACTAAATCCCTGTGATGATGAACGTTGCTTACATGACCCCAAAATGCTTTTATGTATGTGTGACACAGACAAGACGCTGCTCAGCCAGGCAGGGCTTGGGGAATACCCACTCCTTCCTTCTTTGAGGCTTTTTAGGCACAGCAGGGCAGACTTGTAGCAAAGTATTTACAGCAGAAACCATGCTGGTGACCCCAGTGGCTCTGTCAACAAAGCTGAGTAAATTTTTTGTGTGGGTAATGTCCACCTCCACCGAGTCAAGCACCTTTCCCACACAGAAATACACTAGAAAACCACAAAGCCATGTATGGGAAACTAAGGTCACTTAATGATAGCAGGAGTTCACAGGAAGCATGTGTTACCTCATAGGCCTTGCTAATCTGGATGAATTTGTCCTCTGCTCCCGGGTCCTTGTTTTTGTCAGGGTGCCTGTGGGGCAGAACCAGAGGAAAAGGGGTCAGTGGGAGCTGTTGGCATCTGTTTGGAGGTGAGGAGGACAGGGGCAGTGAGGGTGTGCACCGGCATCCCTGAGGCTGAGATCAGATTTATACCCAGCATGTGCTGTCCCTGCCCAAACCCCATACCAAAATGCCCTGGGATGTGGGCCGTGTGCCTGTGGACCTGTCCCTCTGTCTGCTCCATCCCCAGCAGCCTGAGCCCAGGACACGGAGTGTGTCTCCTCCCTAGCAATGCCTCCCTTGGCTGCTGCCCTACATAACTACCGGGCTGTTCCTTGAATCACCTCCTGCCATGGCCTCGGGGATGTCTCACACAGAACAACATGGGCTCTAAAAGCTGCAGGTAAGCCTGCTTTATTAATTTTATTTCCATGCCGTAAGCCTGCCCCTCACCACACACCACCTGTATGAGGGGTGTGACGTCTGCACATCCAACACATTTCCACAGCACAGGGACTGAACGGCCCTTGGACATCCAGCTATCAAGCTGAGACTTCACCCCTCATGTATTAGAAGTTCCCAGGGAGAAATTTTTCTCCCCACAGCCAGACTCAAAGACAACTTTTTCCCCCATCACTTGACTCTGGAGAACTTTTTCCCCCCGTAGCCAGACTCCAGGAGAACTTTTCCCCCCACAGCCAGATTCTGGGAGAATTTTCTCCCTGTAGCCTGATTCTGGGAGAACTTTTTCCCTTTGTAACCAGACTCTGGAAGAACTTCGTTACTTTAGCCAGACTTTGCGACAATTTTCCCACCACAGCCACACTCCAGAAGAACTTTTCCCTCCATAGCCAGATTCCAGAGAACGTTCCCCCACCCGCAGCCAGACTCCGGGAGAATTTTCCCACCCTAGCCAGACTCTGGGAGAACTTTCCCCCCTGTAGCCTGATTCGGGGAGAACTTTTCCCCCTCGTAGGCAGGCTCTGAGCGGACTCCTCCCGCCGCAGCGGGGCTCGGAGGGTTTTACAGCAGCTCCGCTGGCATGGAGCATCTCCGTGTGCCAGGCAGGCCTGCGAGGGCGCGGGGCGCGCAGCCGGCCCAGGCGCCTCATGCCCCCGCGGGGCCTGGCGCCGCCACCGAGCCTCGGCCGGACCCGCTCCCGCGGCCGGGCGGAGGGGACACAAGGGCAGCACGTACCATTCCCGGGCGAGCCGCTTGTAGGCCTTCTTGATGTCGGCCTGGCTGGAGCTCCGGCCGACCCCCAGCACGCGGTACGGGTCGAACTCGCCCGGCGCGGCCGCTGCCAGCGCCGGCAGCAGCAGGAGGAGCAGGAGGCACCCGGCGCGGCCCGGCTCCATGGTCCGGCGCGGCCGCGGGCGGAGGGAGCGGACGGGCCGCCCTCCCGAGCCAGCGCCGCCGCTTCCGGCGCGCCCGCCCGCCGTCCCCATGGAGACCGAGCTCTTCCGGGAAAGCGGGCCGCCGGCCGCCCGGGGGAGGCCCTGCCGAGAGGCCCTGCCGGCCCAGAGGCTGGGGCAGTGCCGTGGGGGGGTTCGGAATGGGCATGGTGGAGCCGGGAGCGCCAGCCGTGTCCCGGCGGCATCGGGCCGGGGACGGGATTGTCCCGCTCTGCTCTGCGCCGGCCGGCCTCACTGGGATGCTGGGGAAGGTGTGGGCACCGCAATATAAGAAAGATACTAAAGTGTTAGAAAGCGTCCAGAGGAGGGCAGTGAAGTTGGTGAAGGGCCTTGAGGGGAGGGGGAGCAGCTGGGGGCGCTTGGTCTGTTCAGCCGGAGGAGACTGAGGGGAAACTCATCGCAGTTAGAGCTTCCCCTGAGGGGAGGAGGAGAGACAGACCTGATCTCTGCTCTGGTGGCAGTGACAGGACCGAGGGAATGGCTGGAGCTGTGTCAGGGCAGGGTTAGGTTGGATATCAGGGAAAGGTTCTTCCCGCAGAGGGTGGTCGAGCACTGAACAGGCTCCCCAGGGAACGGGCACAGCACGGAGCCTGAGCTCAAGGAGCTCCAGGGGACATGATGTGAATCTTGGGGTGTCCTCTGTGGGACTCGATGATCCATGTGGGATCCTTCCAACGCAGCATGTTCTGTGATTCTATTTTGGTTTTTTGCTAAGTTGTGTTTATCCAAAGTCAAAGACTTCTTTCTTGTCTCGTGCTCTGGCAGTGAGGAGGAAACTGGGAGGGAACACAGATGGGACAGATGACCTGAACTGGCCAAAGGGATATTCCACACCACAGAATGCCCAGTGTATCAGCTGGGGGCAGTGACTGAGAAGGAGCTGATCTGGGTTCAGGAAGGGGATCTGACATCAGTCAGTGAGTGGTGAGCAACTGCATTGTGCATCACTTGTTTTCCTCTCTATTATTGTTATTTTATTGTTGTTTTTTATTGTTATAATTTGCCATTACTACTGTATTTTACTTTATTTTCAATTATTAAACTGTTATTTTCTCAACATACAAGTTTTACTTTGATTCTCCTTCCCATTCCAGGGGAATGGGAAGGTGGGAGAGAAGAGAAGGGGGAGTTGAGCAAATAGCTGCATGGTGCCTAATTTTCAGCTCTGCTTAACCCACAACAGTTTGCTTAGGGAATGTGGGTTGGCTGAATGGGTGGTGAGGTGGATCAAGGGCTGTCTGAGTGGCAGAGCTCAGAGGGCATCATCCACTTGGAAGTCTACAGTCAGTGGCTTCCCCAAAGATGTATACTGGGTCCAGTGGTCCAGTCTTAATCAACTTGTTTATCAACAATCTGGACAGAGTGATGGAATGTACCCTCAGCAGGTTTGGTGATGATATGGAACTGGGGAAGTGGCTCATCCACCTGAAGGCTGTGCCCCCATTCAGCAGGACTTTGGGAGGCTGGAGAATCAGACACAGAGAAACTTAATGATGTTCAACAAGGGCAGTGCAGGTCCTGCCCCCGGGGAGGAGCAGCCCCAAGTACCAGCACAGGTGGGGGTGACCTGCTGGAGCATCTCTGCAGGATGACCTGGGTGTGCCATGGTCAGTGAGCTGTCCCAGAGCCAGCAGAGTGTCCTGGGGCCAAGAGGCCCTGGGGAGCACTGGAGCAGGTCAGAGAGTGACCCTGCCCTCAGGAGGCACACCTGAGTGCTGTGTCCAGCCCTGGGGCAGGGCCAGGGAAAGCAAGGAAGGGCCTGGAGCATCTCCCTTGCAGAGAAAAGGCTGAGGGAGCAAGGGCTGTTCAGCCTCGAGAGGAGACACAGCTGAGAGGGGCCCTCATCCCTGTCCCTGTCTGTCGCTGTCTGCAGGGAGAGCTCAGCCTCTGCTGCGGGGGGGCAGAAATGGCACAAGAGCAACGGGCAGGAACAGATGCACAGGAAGCTCTCTCTGAACATGAGGAAGAACTTTGCTGAGCGGGTGACACAGTCCCTAGAGAGGGCGTGGCGTCTTCATCCCTGGAGACATTTAAAAAAACCCCAACAAAACACAGACGGAATCCTGTTCCGTTTGCTCTGGGATGGCCCTTCTGGACCACAGCAGGGCTCTTCCAGCCTGACTCCGTGCATGATTCTGGGACTCCGGGGCGGTGGCGCTTCCGGGCAGCGAGCTGCGGTTCCGGGGCAGAGCTGCGGTCCCGGGCACTGAGCGGCGGCGCCGGGGCTTGTGCCGCAGTTCCGGGGTTTGAACGGCGGTCCCGGGGCTCAGCGGCGGTCCCGGGCAGAGCGGCGGTCCCGGGCACTGAGCGGCGGTCCCAGGCACTGAGCGGCGGTCCCGGGCACTGAGCGCGGTCCCGGGCACTGAGCGGCGGTCCCGGGCACTGAGCGGCGGCGCCGGGGCTTGTGCCGCAGTTCCGGGGTTTGAACGGCGGTTCCGGGGCTCAGCGGCGGTCCCGGGCAGAGCGGCGGTCCCGGGCACTGAGCGGCGGTCCCGGCAGAGCCCGGCTCCGGCAGCCCCGGCTCCGGGGCCATGGAGGAGCAGCAGCGGCGGGCGCTGCGGCGCGGGCGGGCCCGGCTGGTGGCGGCGCTGCGGGTGGAGCCGCTCTGGGACCCGCTGGAGCAGCGCGGGCTCTTCACCCGGCCAATGCTGGAGGAGCTGCAGGTGCCAGGGAGCGGGACACTGAGCGCCGGGGGGGCCCGGGGAGGGTCCGTGTTTCCTGAGAGCCGGGGACGGGCATGGCAGGGTGGCTCCTGCATCCCCTGAGCCCCGGTGACAGGACTGAAGGGTGGCCCCCTTGTCTCCTAACCCTGGTGACAGCTGTGAGAGGGGTGGCTCCGTGTTCTCTTGAGCCCAAAGAGGGAACCCATGTCCCCTGAGCCCGTTGACAGGTCAGGGGGATGGCCCTCAGTCCCCTCAGTCTAGTGACAGATGTGGGAGGGATTGTCCCGTGTCCTCTCAATCCAAGGGAGACTCCAGGTCCCCTCACTCTGGTGACAAGCTCATAGGGGAACTCCATGTCCCTTTAGTCCTGGTGACAGGCCCAGAGGGATGGCCCTGTGTCCCCTCACTCTGATGACAAGGCCTGGGCTTGGTCCTTGTGCAGATAAGATATTTGAGAACCGCCCCCCCCCGACTTGTCCCTTCTTGTCCCCAGCCCTGGCCAGTGCCAGGTGTAGGGGTTTCTCTTTGTGACCCCATCCCAATCTGATGACACCCTTAAGGTGTTATTGTTTCCCCCCCTTGGTTACAGGTTACAGGTGACAGGCCTGGGGGTATTTTTACCCCATCTCACACACTGGTGAGCCCAGGGGTGCCTGTTTGTTCCTAGGGGCCAGACTTGGGGTGCTTCCTCTCCCCCTTTCCCTCTAGACCCCTCATCGGGCTGGGTGTCCATTGCTGGAGGGAGGTCAGGGCTAGGGGTCTGGTGGGGGTCTCTGGCTATTTCCACTCATTTTGTTGTTGTTTACCCCGTGTTCATGTCCTGAGTGCTCATAGAAGTCGGAAGGGCTGCCCAAGGCACTGTACAAACCCCTGTTCTGGGTTTTTCTCCTCTGCAGAGCGCTGGCAGCCGAGGAGAGCAAGCCCGGCAGCTGATCATTGACCTGGAGACTCGAGGGAAGCAGGCTTTCCCTGCCTTCCTCTCCATCCTGCAGGACACCGGGCAGGGCGACCTTGCCCAGATGCTGATCCAGGAGTGCGAACCCCATCCGGTGCCAGCGCAACTGCCCGAGCTGCGGCCCGTGGAGCTGGAGCTGCAGGAGGAGAAGCAGCGTAAAAGTCAGTGCTGAGGAGGCTGTGGTGTGTTTTTGGCAAACAGCAGCATGGGGAGTGGCAGCTGGGATCCCGCCCACTGTGGACAAGAGTCTGGGAAGTCATGATTTTATTATCCTGGTAGAGGTGACTGTTGGAAGGATCATAGAATCCCAGAATGTTTGGGTTGGAAGGGACCTTAATGCTTATCTCATTCCATCCCCTGCTATGGGCAGGGACACCTTCCACTATTCCAGGTTGCTCCAAGTCCATCTTGGTCTTGAACACTGCAGGGATGGGGCCTCCACAGCAGCCTCTTTGGGCAGCCTGTGTGTCCTGCTTTTCAGCAGTGGAACCTTTTGAGCTCGGACTCATCCTCTGTATTTTTGACCCATGCCATTACAGGTGTGACCCCTCATGAACGTTTGTCTATCCCAGTCCAAGCTGAGAGTGAAAGACCTCGAATGCCTCCTGTGCCAGCCCGGGGTAAGCCTCATTCCACTCCTAGAGCCACAGCATGCCAAAGGCTCCTTTCCAGTGTGGTGGGAAGGGGAAATTCATATGTATTGGGAAAGACATGAACTCTAGGAGCATGGTCTTGTTGTGAAGTGTGGTGAACTGAATCCTGTATCTGTTTTGTGTTGTAGGTTCAGCTGTTGACAAGAGGAGCCGTGACCAGGTTAGTATTTGAGAAGGCTGAAAGTGTTCCCTACTAGGCAAAAGCTCTATGTCTCAAGAGTGACTCCAGAAAATATTTCTGGAGGAGCTGGTTCTCACTTTGCCTTACCTGAGCAATTGCTCCAAGGCTGTAACAGGGCCAATGGTCTCAGAGTGGATCAGTCATTAGCCAGATCCTCCTTAAGATTACCACAGTGATAACACAAATTCTTGGCTCCTTTTGGTGAGGTTTGATGATGATGCCTAAAAGAATTTCCCAGAAATTTCAACTTGCTCTTGGACATGCTACAGATAAAGCAGCAGCTGGTTTTCCACAAAGGCTTTCCCCAGTTTAGTGGGTTGTTTCTTGTTCCCAGCTGCTGATGGAAGATGTGTATGGAGAAGGGGTGCTCCTACCCATCCCTAGGACTAAAGAAATAAAAAAGCTGTGAAATGAGCTACTTTAAGTACTCCCATTCCTCACTGACATTGTATCCTGCTGGATTAGCCAGCAAGCACTTGGAATAAGAGGGAGTTTAATTGTGATGTGTCCCTGCCAGGATTATGAGATGAAAGCAGATCCCTGCGGACACTGCCTGATCCTCAATAACGTCAATTTCTCCAGAGACTCGGGTCTGTCCACCCGAGAAGGCTCTGACATTGACTGTGAGAAGCTGGAGAGGCGCTTCAAGGCCTTGCGCTTCACCGTCCTGACCCGGAGGGATCTGAAAGCTCAGGTGAGGCTGGGTGTGTCCTGCTGACACTGGGGATGAGAGGTGAGCCCCTGGAAGCAATGGAAGTGCTTTAGGAGATGTGTCTTGTGTTGTCAGCACACTAGAAACCTCCCACAAAGAAACAATGAACCACTTGCATCCTGTTACTCTATTGTTACACTGCAACTGCAGAAGGGGAGAGGACCTTGTACATTTTCATTCTTCTGCATGAATGTTGAATCCCCATTGAGATTTGTAGGGATTTCGTGAGGCTGTGTTTTTGGGATAGCTCGGACAGCTGTGTCATGTCTGTCTGTGCCATCCTTGGCTGTTACTGGAAGTGTCAGGGGGAATTTGATAATCTGAACATAAAACATGGTTCTCTGCTCACCCACCAGCTCCTGGTCAGAACCAGTGGATTTCATCAAATAAATAATGTGGAAATGTGCTTTGGTTTGTGATGCTGTGTTGTAAAGTGTGTAGAGAGGTGAGAAATCTGTGTCATTAAAGCAGCCAGTGTTAAATAAGGGCAGAGATGCAGAAATACTCACTCTCTGCCAATGGCTTTTGCCAGCTGTACTCGGAGCTCATGTTATCCTGTGGCAGAGGTTGACAGGATCCATGGCAGTGCAGTTGGAACAGGGCCTGGCAGTAACCTGTGGCTGAGATATGGTTCAAAAGACTCTCATTGTGATGTTTTCTACACAGGAAATGGTGTTGGAGCTGCTGAAGCTGTCACGGCAGGACCACAGTGCTTTGGACTGCTGCATTGTGGTCATCCTTTCCCATGGCTGTCAGGTGGGTTTGTCCCATCTCTCCCTTTGTTCCTTAGGTGTGGGAAAGGGTTAATTCCCTGTCCTGTGGTCTTACACACGGTGAGAGGGAAGTGCTCTGTCAAAACCTTGTTCTGCCTTTGTAGTACATTTCAAAGAGTTACACCCTTATTCGGGGTTAAAGAAAACAGGAGCTTCTCTGGTGTGGTCTGATCCAGTGGTGCCAGTGGACAAGGGTTTTCCATTTTAGAAGGTGGGGCTAATAATTTAGAACTGCATGGAGGTCCCACTCAGCCTCATGCTGTGGTGATTCAGTCTTCCCATTCTCCAGCTCTGACTGGGAGATGCTATTAGCAATAATGCGTGTTTATTCCAAGTCAGTTCTTAAAGGATGAGGAGAGGCATTCTTAGGAAAGTGGTGTATGGTATGTACTCATTGTACCAGAGGATGAAGAATTCCTTTGCTGGAGGATGTGGGATATGAGTTGGATATCAGAAGTTACAGGTTTTAGTGCACTTCAAATGTCTCCTGGATGTCCCCTCACCCTGACTTGGCCACAGGGATTCCCACAAACACCAGAATTTGTTCTGGTACCTCATGCCATGAAGCACCTGATGGGAAATGGGCTCCCTTGGAACTGGCCTTGCCTTCCCTGTCACTAGCTCCTCCATTTTCCTCTTGCAGACGAGCCATATTCAGTTTCCTGGAGGCGTTTACGGAACGGATGGAAAACCCATTCCCATAGAAAAGATTGTGAACTATTTCAATGGGTCCAATTGCCCGAGTTTGAGAGGAAAACCCAAACTGTTCTTCATCCAGGCCTGTGGTGGAGGTGAATCTTTGTGTTGGCTCCGGTAGCGTTGGGCTGCGGAGATGTGGTCAGGCTGTGACTTTGGCTCCCTTTTGTTCATTGACTGCCCCTCTCTCCAGCTGTCTTCTCACACCAGCTGCCTCTTCCCTTATTGTGTGCTGAGAGGCCGCTCCAGCTCTTCACACACAGTGAGGAATTTTGCACAAACTACCAATGACTTTGACTCAACCAGTGCCACCGAACAGCCAAAAAGCCTTACTTTGTTTTAGGGCCTTTTCCCTTTTCTTTCCCCATCTTTTCTTAACGTCAGGTGTACAACTCTGAATCTCTTGGGTGGGATGAAGGTCAGGAGCTGTCTTGTTGCTGTTTTTTTCAGAACAAAGGGATCAAGGCTTTGTAGTGGATTGTGATTCGCCTGAAGAGGAAGCTCCTGGGGGTTCCTTGGAATCGGACGCGACCCCATTTCGGGTTTCATCGGATAACGTGGATGAGCCTGATGCCATTGCCAGTTTGCCCACACCTAGTGACATCTTGGTTTCCTACTCAACTTTTCCAGGTGAAGCAGACTGTGCAAATCCTTTTCTGAGCATGGGGGAATTAGCAAAACAGTCGGAAATTCATGGCCAAAGATAGGGGCAGTTCAGGACAACTGAACTGGGCTCTGTTGGAGTGGCAGGAACTTGTTGGGATGAGAACAGCAGATGGGTTTTGGCATAACATTCTCCTTCTTTCTCTGAAGGCTTTGTCTCTTGGAGGGAGAAGTTAAGTGGCTCATGGTATGTGGAAACGCTGGACAGTGTGCTGGAGCAATACGCCCATTTGGAAGACCTGCTCAGCATGTTAGTGAGGGTAAATGTCCTTTTTTTTCTGCTTTTTGTTGATGAAGGAAGTAGTCAGGGGTGTGATCAGTTGGGGCATGTAGGCCTACACTCAAAAAATAAGTGAGGATATTGAGTGTTGAGTTTAGGGATGGGCTCATTGGAGGTACTGCAGAGAGGTGTAATTACAAAGAAAGTGTCTGGCCTCAATCTGCCAAAATGCACTGGAGGTTTCTCCAGTGAGAAGTAATCTTGGCAATACAGGCTTTAATCCTTCTGAAAAAATTGCTAAAAAATGTCATGGCTTGTCCTATCCAAGCTGATGAGATTTGGCTGCTCCTGTAAGCTTGTCCTGGGGGTGGAGGAGCACAATGCACAGGGATATGGAATGAGTGTGGCTGATCAACATCTTCCTTTGTGTGCCTTGTTGACTCAATATTGCCAAAGTTGTGTACAAGTGTAGATGCCCCAGATACTTTTTCTGTTCTCCATGGGTAGGAGAAAAGTCCAGTGTGGAGGGAGAGAGGACTTACAGAATCCTCTTGTTGTTTTCTGGTTGTTGTGGTGCTTCTTTGGTCACCTTGGCATGGCAGCCATTGATTCCCAGGGATGGGGAGGGCATCCCATTCCTCATCCTCTCTTCTGTTCCCAGGTGGCACGTGCTGTCTCTGCCAAGGGGAGGTACAAGCAGATCCCGGGATGTTTCAATTTCCTCCGTAAAAAATTCTTCTTCATGTGCCACTGACACGTGGACTCTGAGCTCCCTGCCGAGCCCTGGAGATTCTTCCTGTGCCTGAATGAAATCTGTGCCCACCATGACTTGGTGTCAGTGCTCCCTGTGGATTTTGTCTGCGTGTCCAGATGTTTGTCTGGAGAAATGTGATCCGTGAGCGCTGGCTTTGCCATGGAGTGGAGATGAGATGGAGATTGTGCTGTGCCGATGGGAAATGTTGTGGATGGAGCAGGAAGTCCATTTACTGGAGAACAGAGCCAGAGGAGAGCACTTCTGGCTCATGCTGACACAACCACACTTGACCTCAGAGTGTTTTTCTTTGCTGATCATGATATTTGTGTCCTGTGCTGTCCAGGTAACTGATTGAGGGGACCAGGGTCTGATGTTCAAGTGAAATGGGATGAGTTTTGCAGTCAGTGTTTCTAATAAATGCAATTAAAAAGCAAATCTTTAGCTGTATTCCCTTGTCTGTCCCATATCCCCATTGCCATTTCAGCACCTCCTGAAGGCTCCTCTGAAGTGGGAAGAGTAGGAACCTTCACTCATGTCTGTGCTGCTCTGTCTGGTCATTTACAATGTGGCTGTGCCAGCCTATGGTGCATCCTGCTCCTTTTGAGGAGTCAGTTGGGAGTTACAGCAGGAGACTGATGAGGATTCATTGAAACACCAGTGCTGAGGTAAAGTTCTTAAGGAGCTGCTAACATGATGGCCTTGGGTCAGAAATCCTGCATCTGAGTTGGATTTTGAGGGGGGAAAGCATCCTTGGAGCCACCCTTGTGTGGTACAGAGGCCTATGGGTAGGTCTGTGCTGAGGGGTGCTTGGGGATTCCCAGGGAACCTGGCAATATCCAATCTGCTTTTTCAGTCACTGAGTATTTCCATGCTCCTTTGGGAGCATTTCAGGTGTTTGGAGAGTGCTGCAGGAAGAAGCCAGGGCTGCCCTGAGCACCCCAAGGAGGGTCCAGCTGGAGCTGGATGTGGCTGTGATGGCCTTGCCTGTGCTCAGATGTTTGTGAGAGCTCATGGTTGTCTTCTCTATTCCCCTTCTCCATCCCCCAGGGGAGTGGGGCTCTGGGCTGCCCTGTCCCATGTTGTCCAGTTTTGTACAGAGCATCTGGGTGTGCAGGTGATCCCAGGGCTGATCCCATCTCCCCTGGACCTGTTCAGGAAAAGTGACCCTGCACTCTTCCCCTTGTTTATTTCCCCACTTCCCTCACTAAGGAAGCGTTGGGAGTGCGGTAGGGGTGATTTTGGGTAGAGATGGCTCAGCCTTGTCCCTCTCCTTTCCATGGCATGGATTGCAGTGGCTGCTCCTTCCCCAGGGCATCCCTGACAGAGGTGAAAACAGAGTGGGAGCACTCCAGCAGCACAGATTGTGGAGGGAATGTGGTGGGGCTGCAGAATGACCCCCAGGACCAACCCAATTACCTCAACACCCCATTATAAATCATCTGCCATCAAGTAGCCCAGTTACCAGTAAGACTCCCTGAAACATCCCAGCGCCAGCCAAGACACCTAAAACCTCCTTGGGCCAGCTAGGGGCCCTATAACCCCTCCCCAAGTTCCCTAGAGCCTCCCAGGACCACCAGGCTGGATTCCAGCCACTCTCCCATCAAACCACCAGCCAAGCCTTGAACCTTTGGTTTGGCTAGGGCCATGGCTCTACTCCTAGCTGGGAGTACCTTGTGGGATCTCTGCCCACCTTAGGTTCCCAGGAGCCTGCCCAGCCTCACTGCCCAATGTGGGGGCTCTCCCCAGCACACAGGCAGAAGCCCAGCACCACAAGGTACACCCCCCGGTTCTGCTCCACTATGTCCCCTCAAAAGAACCACACGAGACCAGCTTAGCACTATTGCCTTTATCACACTCGGTGCTTGTGCTCCATGCTGTGTCCTCAGTTCTCGCTCATTTTCTGCCAAAGAAAGACACGGGGAGGCTCATGGTGAGACCACTGGCGGGGCAGGGGCAGTGTGGCCAACCTGCATGGCGGCAGAGGAAGGGGCACCCACCTCGTTGATCCAGTCGATGTAGGCAGACACCCGGGTGAAGACTGTTGGCTTCTTTTTCATGTTGCATTTCAGGCCGGAGCCGAAGCTGACGATGCCCTCGACCTCCCAGATCCCATCGTCGCGCTGGCAGTTCAGGGGGCCTCCAGAATCGCCCTGTACGGAGAGACAGTGTGGGCCATTGCTCCGGGGCACCCTGCTGGCACACCCCACATCCAACACAGCACTGATGTACACAGGTAGAAGAATTATAAAAGAAAGGCCTTATGAAATCAGGCCTCACTCTGCTAAAACTGCCAAAGCTGACCTGTCATTTCTTCTACATGCAGCTAACAAGTGATTTGCAAGTTCCCATGTGAAGCTATTTTGGGAATGAGAGGTTTGTTTAACCCAACGATCTATTCTGAGGGTGAAAAACAAATGCACCTCTGTAAACAATAAGATTTGTCCCATGAGAACCCACAAAGGAAAAATGGAAACATATCTAGAGAGAGAAAATTGGTAGACATATCCAATAGCGCTTAGCCAGTGAACTGAGTTTCACTGTATTGCTGACCAATTAGGTTTAACACAGTGCCTTCTGATATTTCTTATAAATATAAGCTTTGTGAATAAGAATTGTCTTTCTGCATGAAGGAAATGGAGTCTTGGCTGATTTATTCCAACATGCCACTGCAGCTCCATCCCCTTCCCTCCTGTGCTTCCCATGGAACCCATTGCCCTGCACTGCTTCAGCACCACTGTCAGTCCTGCTCTGGGCTGGGGGCAGGTGGCACCCAGCAGTGCCCACACTCACGTTGCATCCAGAGACGACGCCGTCACCGCCAGCACACACCATGGTTGTGCGCACGAGGCTGCCCCACCAGTCCCACTTGGAGCAGGTCTCATAATCCACCACGGGCAGCAGGGCCTGCTGCAGGGCATCGGCCAGGGGCCCGTTGGCTGCAAGGACAGTCACACCTCACACTCTGCACATCCCCTTCCCAGGGACCCCTGGGAACCCTCCCAGGGACGCCCCACTTACTCCTGACACGTCCCCAGCCGGTGACATAGCAGGGGTAGTCGTTGGGCAGGACCTTGTCAGCAGCTGGCAGGCAGGAAGCACGGATGGTGTCAGTCTCCTGCACCTCCTCTGCCAGCTTGACCAGGGCAATGTCGTTGCTAGAGGGGAACATGAACCATGAAGAAGTGGTCCCTAGCTTTGTTGCCCCCCACCCACTCATGGATATTTTCCATCCCTACATGACAAGGATAGAGTTCCATTTCTCGTGGACAATCGTCTTCTCCACACCGACGGCCACAGAACCAGGCTCATCATCCACTGACAGGTCCTGCTTGCCCAGCACCACACGGTAGGTCAGGGAAGAGCTGCCAGGAAGAGAGGGAGTGTCAGTTCCCACAGACATCTTACCTCCATGGCACAAATGCCCCGCAGCACCCCAACACCCACCTGATGCAGTGGGCAGCTGTCAGCACCCACTGGGGGGCAATGAGGGTTCCACCACAAGTGTGGTACCAGGACCCAGAGCGGCTGTACTGCAGCGAGATCTGTGAGGGCAGAGGCACAGGGTCAGAGCAGAACGTCCCCATCCCTGTCCCCATGCCCGTGCCCATGCCTGTCGCTGTGCCCCCTCACCTGCCATGGCCAGCTGTGGGCTACAGCATCTTCACCGCCCACCACGCGGGAGCTCAGCTGTGGTGGCACGGCCGGCTGACCGCATCCGTAGGCTGTGGGGCACCAGCAAAGGGACATCAGAGGCTGCCTGTCCCCCCTGCCCTGACCCTTCCCCATGCCCTGCACCTACCGTAGCCCAGCAGCACGACGAGACAGACGGCTCCCAGCATGGTTGTGCTGAGCAAAGGTGCCGTAATGGGGCTGCTCACCCCTCTTATAGTGTCTGGACTGCTGGGGACCTTGGAGTGGCCCTGCCTGCTGCTGACACGTGGGGACTGTCCCAAGCTGTGGGCACAGGGACTCCTCAGCCCCATCACCCGCTCTTATCGCACTCACCGTCCCACCTGGGAATGGCCACATCTGCCTGTCATGCGCTGGCACCATGCTGGGCCATGGTGGGGACAGCTGGCCCTGCTCTGGGAAGGGGCAGGCTGCCTCCTGGGGCACAGGGTC